GGCTTTGCTGTATATGTGATTCGCAATTGGTTTAGAGATGAAAGATGAAATTTTGTAAATGTATAATCTTCTGCTTCTGAAACTGAGCTTAACTCATACGTTGAACTTTATGATTGTCAGCATGTATATGTACACACATCAGCAATGGCTTTAATATCATTCTTTCAGATCAAACGCGGCCAGACCAATGAAATTCCAGACAGGACCTCACATTAGCTTCCAATATTCTTTACTGTTAAAGGTTTTTGAGCAAGTTAAATTATCCGACAACTTTTGCTGTGGCCAATTAAATGGTTCCAATTTAAAAACACTTGAGCACATGAATTTAGAAACATCGAGTAGTAAACGAAATTGCAACTGGACAATTGTTTCTTGATCTGGATATGGAAAAAATCAAAATAGAAATTTAAAAAAGTAATAATCATTATCTGGTTATACAGTTAGAATGCTATGGAGTAATCTAACTTTCGCCCATCCAAGACAAAAATAAATCAATCTTTGTACAACACACTCAACCATATTGTGTCGTCCCGTTTAAATCTTGTATTGTAATGTCAACGCTAACTTCTGATCACAAAACCTCGACATCTCCAAACTAATTAACTTGTCACAATAATAATACAGATGGTAAGATGAGCTCCATGTAAATCTTTTCTATCATGAATATACTCAGTCTCTAACTTCGATATTTTCTTAGGTACAAAGCACCAAAAGCCTTAGAACCCATCAGAGTGCTGCACACCAGAACACGGATTATTCAGGCTCTTCAGCCAAAGTTGGCAGACTATCTTCAGTTGGAGGAAATAAACACTGCTCTGATTACTAAAAAACCTGAATAGGTAAGAATCGTTCAAGAAGCAGATGGAGACTCTATTTCATTTGATTTCTTAGGCCTTCCCTTCAACAAGGATGCCCTCATTCTTTAGTTTCTCGCTCGTAATCCATAACTCGTCCAATATAATATTCTTAACGCAAAAACAAGCTCTTACTGCTGTTGTGTTATTTCTATTAACATGTACTAGCTGGCATGTTACTGTAATAAAAGCCCTTGATAAGCGACCCTGTTATGAAGAAAACCTCAATATGACTCCGCTTCTGCTAATCATCAACATCATGTAGAAGAGAATCCAATTCGTGGATACAACTTCTACCCTTGAAGCTAGTAACCAACACGAGGTATATATCTTCATTCTGAGGATGGCGCTTATCAGCAGCAACAAATGGATAGACCTGATCCTTACCTTAATCCAAGAACAGCCAGGCTCCTTAATAACCCCCTTTGATCTCATCATCTTCCTTACTTCTGCTGCTTCCTTCCATCTCCCCCTCATGGCATAAATGTTAGCAAGGGTAATTGTGTTCCAGCACAATTTGGATCAATTCAAGAATCTTCTCTGCAGCACGTTTTCCACAATCAACATCACCATAGACCCTGCATGCTCGAAGCAGAGTTGACCAAACAACATCATCCCTTTGATGCGGCATACTTTTGATCATGTTCTCAGCATCACTAAGTCGTCCGGCTCGGCAAAGAAGATCATCATGCAGCCATAGTGTTCTTTAGAGGGTTAATCTGGTATTCCTTACTCATCAGATTGAAGTAGTGGAACCAAGATCAACCAGTCCTGCGTGACTACAAGCGAAAGAACACCAATGAAGGTCACAGAGTCTGGTCTCAACCCAACTCTGGTAAGCTCTAAACAATCAATGACTTCTTTGCTGTAGCCGTGTTCAGCATACCCATTAATCATGGCCTCCATGAGACAATATCGACACATTCAGTTTCATAGAAGATTGTGAAGCTTCTATAATACTCCCACATTTTGATACATGTTGATTAGAGAACTGTGTATCATAGCTGTGTGTTCCAATCCGATGCATAGCACATGGGCATGTACTCTTCCCCTGCTCAAGAATTGCCATATTTCCGCACACACTCACACGCTGGCAAAAGCAAACTCATTTGGATTTGGTCCTTCTCTTCTCATCAATGATAGATACTCAAAAGCTTGTTCTCCACAACTCCTTGAGAATACCCTGCAATTATGGTGCTCCATGAAATATATCTCTCCGGCTCATCTCATGAAATACCATAGAGTTGAAGTTAACTTGCCGCATTTTGAATACATGGTCATGATGGAATTGGCCACTGACAAAGAATTTTGTAACCTAAACTAAAACATGGGCATGTACTGCTCGCCCATAGAATCTTTGCAAGGTCGCTGTGCAGAGATAACTGCAGCAAAAGTGTACTCGTTAGGTTTTACACCTGATTCTTGCTTCTTAAAATGAGTCAAGAGCATTTTCCTCTTGACCCATCTGAACATAAGTTGTTATTATTGTTGTCCACAAACCACATCACGTGTGTTCATTCTTTCAACAAACACAAACCATAGTCTATTTTCCACATTTGTTATACATTGTTGCAAGAGAGTTGGCTACAAATGACTCATATCAAAACCTCTCTTTATTGTTGATTATGAATCTCCCTCCCATAGTTCAAAGCACTTGAATCACACATGCCTTCAATGCAATAGCAAAGTGTATGAATCACACTCAACCTTTGATCTCCACACTCAGAGAAGTAAACTAACCCCTCACTATTATAACCAGCACGAACAAGCCCCGTAATAACAGCAGTCCATGATACTACATTTTTCATTGGCATTTCATGAAAACTCTACAACCTAGCTCAACTTTTCCAATTTTCGTGTACATATCCACAAGGGCACTACCAACAAAACTGAGTTCCACTAAACCAGTTTTAACGGTAAACCCATGTAATGATTCTCCAAAATTAACATTAACATTTTGTGCACAAGCCTTGATTCCAAGGCTAAGACAAAAGGGTCCATGTTCATTTCAGGCTCAACCCACATTCTTGAAAACACCACCAAAGCTTCAGTGGAGTCCATGGCCTTGACATAGCCAGAGATCACAGTGGTCCATGAAATCTCGTCTCGGTGAGCATTTTATCGAACATTTTGCGCGCATCCTTTAAGTGACCTGCCTTGACTAGTTCCTTCAGTTGAAATTGACTTCAACATGTTTACATGACAGGGCAATTGGGTTTTACTTTACCGACATTTGGTAAGTATTTGGAGGCAAGATAAGAAGGTCTCCATGTTCAGTGCATGCAATGGCTGACTAGTTGTAAACAGTCTCCTGATAATACGAGACCTACTGGATAGGACATGGTGTAGTTAGCAGCCGCCATGCATGCCACTTGACTGAAATTTTCGAAAGTTCATTTGAGATTTCAGAGTCCAATTTTAAGCCCTTATGTTTAACAATTAAACCGCATCGCTACCTATCCTGGGCCTATGAGGCCCGTTCTTTACAAAGGTATCCATAACTTTTAATTCTTTTTTTTTCTTTTTTAAATTTCAATAGTTTTTTTTTTTTTTTTTTTTTTTTACAGTAATCTAGATCCACAATCCAATCTGGCATGGCAATGTTCCCCGATTTTGGTACCCATCCCGCCTCACCCCATATGGGGCGGGGAAGCCTCGTTTTTTTTTTGGATAGGGGCAGGGGGCTTTTAATCCCCGTCCTCGAGGATGGGGCGGGTGGTGATGCCTTTCCCCTGCACCCCTCGTCCGGCCTCATATATAATATATAAATTACAAATTATATATTATTATATAATATAATATTATATAATTATACACTTTTCAATAATTATTTCACATAATTATAATTATCCTACTTAATAAACTCATATTTTCCTAATTTCCCCACCCTAAACAATTGAATAAGAACAAACCCTAACTCATATTTATGTATAATTATTATGTTTAAACGATTAATTTAAGTATTGTGTATGTGGACGAAATTAACTATATTTTAGTAATGCTCAAATTAATTTATGTTTATGTAAAATTAACGGCGTTAGGATGACCTCCAACATTACCCTTTGGGCGAGAAAGGGAATCCTGTCATCCCCGTAACAGGGATCGGGCGGGGTGAAGTGATTTTGAGGGCAGGGATGGATTTGTGAATGAGATCTCCACCCCATTGTCATGCCTATCTAATCCACAACCTCTGACATGATAATTCATATTGGTCAGCTTGCAAACAACAGGCAAACTCATTTATGAGCTAACCAATTACGAACTATCACATCAAGGTTGTAAGATTAGATTGTAGACTTAAATATACTCTTTTGTGTTTTTCATATTTAAAATTGTAGTCAAAACCGTTTTCAGAGCAATCTCAATTAGGTCATTACATTTAAGAATTGATTAATGAAAAATATTATTCATATACATTATATGAGACAAATGGAGAACTTACGTCTGAAGTCCAGAAATTTTATTGTGGCCCTGTTCAATATTAAAATCTGTAGCCAGTAGGCCAGTAATTTATAGGGAGAGCGACTTTCCCCACCCAAGGTTTGGTGAAACAACAGTGCCACCCGTCAAGTTTTAAAATAACATTTTTCCACCCTTATCAGGTTCTGTTAATGTTTTTTATTAATATTTGACTAAAAATATGAAAATATCCTTAAATAGTTTATTTCTTAATTAATTTATTATAAATTAAAATTTAGTTAAGTTAAAGTTTTTACTCAATTATTTATTAGTTTAAGTGTAAAGATATATTTTTTTCCTTTGTTTATTTAATTAATTAGGAATATTAATTTTCTATGTTAATTAGTAAAAATAAAAAACATTATATTATAAAAAAGAATTTATAAATTTAATAGATTATTGAATAATAATGATAGGATATTGATAATATTATAAATAAACATTAAGGTTATTTAACTTTAAATAATTATATAACATTAATCCTAACTTTTTAGTTGCAGCTAACAATTTTTTCTTTTTTGACTTTTTAATATTTGATTTTTTGGCTAATTAAAATATAATAAAAAAATTCATAAAGTCAAATATTAAAGGGTATTTTCGTTTCTTCAGTCAAATATTAATAGAACTTAACAAATAGTGGAAAAGTGTCATTTTGAAACTTAAAGGGTGGGAAAGGGTCCTTTCGCCAAAGCTTGGGTGGGAAAATGTCGTTCTGCTCTAATTTTTATGATAAAACTTAAACATCTGTTTGGACAAGGTCTAGTATCACTCAACAAGCCAACAATAAGTTTAAGGTTCTTCAATTCCCCAACAAAGAGTACTCTAAACAATTCAGTAGACAACAAAAGTGCAAGAAATATAGAAATAACGTATAGTGTATGTCCCAGTAAGCCTCCTGGACGAACGACAATCATCTCTAAGAGAGAACCCACTTCCCAAACGTCACCTTAATACGTTTAACACAAACAAGCTCTTGACTAAAACTTAAATATGCCACAAATGCATCTTTTCAGTTCCCAATATGCTTTCCCCTGTTTTTGCCATGCCACTGAGCCCTTCTACTGGCCCTTGCCCTCTTCCACCTCTCCACATTTCTCATTCTTGTGAAAATCTTACCAATTTGATACAACTTGTGAGACTGTTGAGTAATCACATTGGCAGTTGAGGGGCTTTGAGTCAAAACTATATCATATCCATCGCGAAAAGAGTCCATGCCTTCTGTTAAAAGTTGCCAAAACAGGCCTCCTGCTGCTGCACCTCCTCTTTTAGCTGATAAGTATATATGATAGTAGACAGTTTTGAATAGTAAGTCTCTTTGGTAGGTGTTGTAACCTGGATCTTTCCAGGATTTCCCGAATTCTGTCACTAGTATTGGCTTCCGAAGAATGTATTGTGCATCTTGCATATGAGAGTTGAGCCAGTTGTTCAAGAAAGAAAGTTGATATTGATCATTGGAATCAGATAACCTGCTCATGCAACAAAACTGTTAACATTTCCAATTAAAAAAGCAAGGCAAAGCTTTGTTATATTTTATACAGCCATATTAAACTCAAATAATTTTCTCTATGTTTAACACTGCTATGATCTCATTTGTAATTTGTTCGCTTTAAGACACTTAGTTAAGGAAATGACCTTTTTCCTTGAAATTAGTTATTACAGCTTACTGTCAAGTCATAAATAACAAATTTACCATTGATCAGGATATGAATGAACAGTTGCGAAATCAATGCCAGGGATTCGATTATTAGCAATGAAGTCTGTTCCAATATCAAGATTGGGATTGAGCCTCTTCCTTTGAGGTGTTGATTGTCCATAAAATCCTTCTAAACCAACTTCCAGCAAGTGATTTCTGTCTATGGATTTCACATAGGAAGCCATTTCCATTATCCAAGCCTATCATACAAGCACCAATTGCAACAAGTTAAGCATGAATTATGTGATGATAAAAATCAAATCGAAATCATAATGCATTTAGACATAGTTGTTGAAAAAAGAAATTAACTTTCGCCAACTGTAACATTCATAAGTATTGGGGTCTAACCCTCAAGCGATTGGGGGGTAAATGCCAATTAGTGGGGATATGTAAACCCTTCATAACTAATCAAGTAATGATTTGAGACTTCTGATTAAGGGATTGACAGAACTGACACCAGATTTACAAGCAAATCGAGCTTGAAGAAGTTTGAGTCAGGTTGAGAATAAATCAAGCTAAAAGGAAGTAGACTACTAATGAAATGTAAAGTGAAACTAACGTGGTAAAGATTAGATAACCAAAGAAACTTAACAAGAAGAGTGGAGGATATCACTTATCAAACCTGAATGGTCCTTCCAGAAGGATCTGATGTGCACCTGGGCTCATTCATAAGTTCCCAGGCCATGATTGTAGGGTCATCTTTGTAATGAATTCCCGTAAAGCTATTATATCTATTAAGAACAGTCTGCAGAAAGCAGAGATAAAGTAAGATATCCCATCTCGCACACAAGAAAAGGCTAAGAAACTTCATCATGATCAACTGAAACCCTCCATCAAAACCATCATCCAACTAGAGAAGCAAATTTTTATCTACTTTTTTGATTCCACAACAATTTTAGAAACAATATAAAGTTGTTATCCAGAAAAATCACAGGAACAAACAAGAAGAACGAATCTACAATCAGAAAGAGAAGCTAAAATTGAATGATAAATAGACTCAAACTTTGAAAGAATGTAACGAAAGATATATAAACATTATTTTTACTAACCTTGATATGGTTCTTGTAATAACCCTTAACCACAGGGTTTCTAAAGAAATCATCATCAGATGTCAAGTACTGGCCTTGACTTCTAGCCCAGTTCACATACTGTTTCTTCCCTCCAAAACTTTCATAGTTATTCGCTAAACTCAATATCAGCTTAATCCCATGCCTTCTGGCCTCAGCTATCACAAAATCCAATCCCTTCAAATCACCAAAAACAAATCCATATAATCAACATTATCAAGTTTTATGATTAGAAAGAAGAAATCAAAAAGGTGAGTAGGAGAAAGACCTTAAACATTTGCTCATTGTAGGCGCCAGGAGAATACTGTAAGGGTCTGTAACCACCATCACTGAAAGCCCAAGTTCGAGCCACTGTGAGGCCATGGCTTGTAGCTTCATGAAAAGCAGTTGATACTTTGGATCTTTGAGATGGATCAGAAGCTATGTACATGAGCCAGTAGGCATTGAACCCGTTTGCATAGTAAGGATTACCATTCAACAGAAAATGCACTCCTCTGCTTCTAACAAAACCATCTCCCGCTTCAACATGGATATGAAAACATAGGTGGTGGATCAATATGGCCAACAAAAGAGCCAAAGCCAAATGCCTCATCTGTGTTAACTCTTTGTATGCGTTTGTCTGAGTTGAGGAAGGAATGGTGTGGATAAAATATAAGGCTTAGAAAAAGGTAGTGTTTTGAAGCGTTAGTAAAATTAGAAGATGAGGTTTTTAAACTTTAAAGCAGTCATTTTGTCTTCATACAACTGCTAAAATTATATTTAATTTTACACCAATTGATCATCACAAATTCTTTAAATCACTCCATTACAAAAAGGAGGTATTTTAGAATACCTCTTTTTTGTGTTATCTAGTTTCTTCTTCTTCAACCTTCTTCTTCTTTTTTTTTTTTTCGGTTTTTTTTTTTTTAGGGTGTCAATTGTCATCCTCGAACCCGGGTTCTGAAGGCCCAAAACACAACTTTTGAACCACCAGGGTATCAAGCAATTGACAGCAATATCTTTCATTTGGCTCTATTTATTCGGAGATCCTGATATTATTACTCTAAATTATTAAAAGAAAATGAAAATTAGTAATAATTTAGGCAAAGGAGAAAAAAAACAATGTAGTTAATATTGTTGTATTGGTTCTCTCACAAATTTGTCAGCCACACCGACACTCAATTATTTTTATCATAAAATAATTCCTAATATAACATTTTAAATATGTTCTAACTAGGATTTTCTAGGAAATTGGCTTTCCTTTTATATCATGATCTTATACTTTAGTTCCTTTATACCATGATTTTAAAATTTAGTTCTTTATTTTATTTTATTAGAACTTAAAAGAAGATTTAGGACATGATAGTTCAAAATTATTATGAAAATTAAAAAAAAAAAATTGTGGGTCTCAAACAATGAATAAAAGTAGTTACATAATAACTAGAAGAGATAGTTAAATGATGAAGGATGAAGTGAGATAAGTGAAAAACTCAAATAATTTCGATTCAGTATTGTATAAAAGAATAAAGAAATTATTAAAGTTGTAGAATATAGATGGTGTGAGAGTGAGGGTAAGGTTAGTATTAAAGATGTAGGAAAATAAATATTTTGGGTATAAGGTGAGTTTGGATGTATTGTGCAGTCCAACAACAAGACAACTCCATTAATTATTGATAACCAAGTTTAGGAGCAAAACCTCAAAGTTTAGTAAGAACTATGATAGTAACTATCTTTCGGTGATCGAATGATTCAATATGAATTTTTTGATATATCATTCAAAAGGGCTTGAGTTCGAATCTCTTCTCGAGTGTTAATAGGGATAACCACTAAAGCTCTTACCCGATCGACAGTTTTAAAATCCTAAAAGATTAGTTGATGTGCACGTAAGCTGACTTAGACATTTTTGATCATAAAAAAATAAAATAAAATAAAAAACCATGGTGGTGCTAGGCTTCGTGACCACTCAAAAGTTCAAATGGGATGATAATTATCAGAGGTAACCCTACTTCATGAAGGTTTATCAATCACCTTTATCATGGCATGGAACATATAAAATAAAAAGAAGTGTCACTTTTATTTTATGTCTTTATCTAATCAAACCCAACACACGCGGCGCAACCTGTGATGTGATCTAATCCCTAATTTATGGCCCCAATAAGTTGAAAAATGTTGTGGGCAGGGTGAGATCCCACCATTATTTTCTTCATTCAATGTCATAGTGAAGTGCATGTGCCCCTTTCCCAGTCAAATCAATGCTTATTCACACAAACCCAATCTCATGTATTTGTTTTTTATGTCTTTCGCTCCTTACGCAACCCCATTATCCTTGTACACACTCGAAGAACACAATATTTTATCTAAAAGATCTGTCTTTAACTGATTAACTGCACATTTAGAATCCATTTGATTTGAAGGGGAAAAAAAATAAGAGAAAAATTTAACGAGTGGAGCTTGTCTGTTAAAAGTGCGTAAAACCCTTTAATAAACACGAGATTGTCCCACTTAAGCTTTATAGCCGGCAGACGACGGACAAGTTGGTACCATATATGGATCGACTTACTTGGAGACATGCAGCATGGGATGTCTCCTCGTTCACTAAAGACGACAGGAAAAAAGATTTCAAAATCCAAACTGCCCTGGCCCATGGAGCTTATAGCCGATTGGTACTTAGCATACTTCTAAATTAGTTCCATATCTAAATCAACAATGTCACAGACACCGGTGTTTTTACACCGAAATTTTGTACCGGTTGACGTATATGCTGGCTCAACCATCCAACGTATTTTAGCGTTATTAAACTTTATCTAATGAACGGCCGTCCATAACATATGGACGGGGGTCCATTTACTACGAACGGGCGTCCTAATTTAGAGGACGCCCGTTCATTGCTAAATACAAATAAAAAATATTAAAAAAAATTAGGGACGGCCGTTCATAGGTTATGAACAGCCGTCCATTCCTTAGGGACGGGCGTTCATCTGTTGATGAACGCCCGTCCTTTAATTTTGGACAGGTGTCCATTAAATAATAGACGCCCGTCCTTTTTTTAAAATATAAAAATTTAAAAAAAAATGTTTGGACATCCGTCCATGCTTAAGGGACGCCCATCCCTAAGGAATGGACGGCTGTCCCTTAAGTATGGACGGCTTATGGACAGCCGTCCATTCCTTAGGGACGGACGTCCCACCTCTAATTAAAATAAAAAATTTGGTTTAAAAAAAAAAAAGGGCAGCAGTCTTCTTCTTCTTTCTTCCATCTGCGCTGGTTCATCGTGTTTGTGGCATTTTTGTACAAGACATAGATTGTTGTCCAAGTAATAAAGTACACTTATTACTAATTTCTCTTTCCTTTTGGGATGAATTTTCCCTTGTGCTTCTTCTCTTCATGATTACATGAGTTATGTTAACTACACAGAATGGCTTAAGCAAACAGCCCAAAACTTCCCATTGAGCATAATTTCTTGCACAGACTTCCCAGGGAAATTTCAACGTCGTCGTCGGGCTTGGAAAGAACCAACTTCTTGAATTCAGACAAGTACATGGCGAAAACTTCAACTCCTTCAATGGAAATGGGGCTCTTCCCACTGTTGGTGATAGTTGAAGAAGAAGGAAAAATTTACAGAGAGAAAGCAAAGGATTCCTTCAAAAAATTTAGTAGCAAGAAAAGTGTTCCACATGAAAATAAAACCATACATTCCCGATTTCAAGCTGGCTTTCGAGCATTTCTGCATTCACGCTGGAGGGAAAGCGGTGTTAACAGGCAAAGCTGTAACTAGAACAGCTGTATTTTCGCTAGAGGCTGGTGACTGGCTGCATTTCTAGTCGCTCCCATGCTTCTTTTCGCTTCTCAGCTACCAAGCTTTGCCTTGATTCTTCTTTCCCTAAACTGAGAGTGGCAAGAACATGAACAGTACGTCATCCATCTCTGAGAACATCTTTCTGACATTCAGAGTGAGGTTAACATTGCGGGTTCCAATGGTTTTGAGCGTTTTTCTCTAAAACTGGAAATATGACAGGCAGAACCACCCGCCGGTTATGTACAATCAAAGTTGACAATTTGATGTTGCTCCACCAAAAAAGGGCCCTTTCAGCCACCTGAAGAAAATGAAGTTAGAGAGAACATATTTGGAGTTCTTTTTTAGGCAAAAAGCAACACTACTAGAAAAAGACTTCTAATATATACCCTTTTTTATAAAGTGAAAATAATGGACTGGCGTCCATTTATTACGGACACCGTCCAATCGCAAGGGACGCCGTCCACAAATTGTGGACGGATGTCCCCAAAGTTTTTTTTTTTTTTTTTTTTTTTCATATTTGGGTTAAGGACGGGCGTCCCTTATTTGTGGACGCCCGTCCATATTTACTGGACGCCGTCCATAGAATTGACGGGTGTCTTGTTTTTTTTTTAAAAAACAATTTTTTATGGACGGTCGTCCATTCCACTACGAACGACCGTCCAGGATGTATGGACGGCGTCCGAAATCATTGGACGGCCGTCCATATGTCCGGATTCAATCGTCCAACGTGGCGGTCTCCACGTGTTTCGGTGCAATTTTTCGATGCAACTTTTCGGTGGATAGACATTTTAGAGAACTATGGGCTTTCTCCAGTTTCCTTATAAAGAGTGTAGCCCAGATGCTGAACTGGGCTTCAGCTTAAACCCTTTGCTCCACTTTACTCCTCCGTAACAACCTTATTATCATGTTAGACCTCCAAGACCAAGATCAGCGGAGAACATGAAAACACAACCCATATTTGATGAAACGATCTATTACTATATTAATCAACAATCTCAAATCAAAATTGATAGCATTCCGGAACTGACAAAACTCCATATTACAGTGCCCGGATTTTTCCCCCATAGCCATAGTACTTCAAAAGCCCTTCATCTTGCCGCCAATTCTCCTTTACTTTAACTTCAATCGTTTCATAATCAGCTGCTCAAGTTAATATTTTCTAATCCAGAAACAGAAAACAAGTATTTCTAATAAAATTGCTTAAATCCAATGCAGAAGTCAGTAATAAATGGATTTTATGGATAATAGAGTGTGGTTGTAGAAGGAGAAAGCCCAACAATTAAATATCATATAAACCATCCAGATGAACATTGTTATTAATGAAAGGATATGTTCAAGTAGGCACCTAAGGTAAACCTTCTCTGCAAAAAATCTTCAATGTCAAGCCGAGCAGCTGTTGCCAGTAGTTTTAGAGCTTCTCCCTACAGTGCTCCGTTATATAAAAAAAATTAGAAAACCACATCAAAGTAGTATTAAGTGTGCATATGTACACCACATCAGAGACTGGTAGGGCATATGTGCAGATGCTTATGCCAGATCAATCTTTGACAATTTGAATTTGAGAAACATCAAATTAAGCTCAGGATAACATGTTTGGGAGCAAATAACACGTAATCTTCATCCGCATTCATTTGCAGGCTAATGCACGCTGGTAACTATTATAGAATTGCATTATAATCTCATTTCAAGTGGGCTGGATCCTAGATCTTTGAGGCCAAGACAATATTATCCTTCAAAGAGAAATTGTTATTGCTTCCTTCATCTTTGTCTTCCCTTTAGACAGCTCTAGTCCCCGTCCAAGCCAAGGTCCTCATTTCATCCCACCCATATATTACGCACCAGCCAACTCAAGGACATCACAAAGAAAGAATTATGTACCAAAGCAATGATGCAGGGATTTACCAAAAAAAAAAAAAAAAAAACTGTACTCACTTTCCTAAAGGATTATCTTTTGTGTGTTCTTCTCTACAACATCTCCACCTGTATGAAATCTTCGCAGTTGGCCTAGTTTTGTAGTTACAACATTCACCTGGAGGATTCAGATATCAGAAACCAAAGTTCTAAAATACACACCCAAAACTTAAAAGAGGAATAAGGAATATAAGCAAAAGCAATTGTAAAAAACCCGTACACACCTGACATGCAAAGGACCTCGTCACGATATTGCATAAGATCTTTTCTCTAACAATCTCAGCTACAAAG